GGTGGAGGGGGAAGCCCCAGGGTCATGCTGCGGGGCTTGGTGAGTCAGGGACATTTCTGGGTCTGAACCACTGCTGCTGGTGCTCTGGGTGAAGGGGGAAGCCCCAGGGTCGTGCTGGCGGCCTTGTTTAGCCAGAGATGTTTCTGGGTCTCCACAACTGCTGCTGGTGCTCTGGGTGGAGGGGGAACAGGGTCCTGCTGGGGCCTTGTTAAGCCAGAGATGTTTACAGATCACCACGGGAAGCCCCAGGGTCGTGCTGGCGGCCTTGTTTAGCCAGAGATGTTTCTGGGTCTCCACAACTGCTGCTGGTGCTCTGGGTGGAGGGGGAAGCCACAGGGTCCTGCTGGGGCCTTGTTAAGCCAGAGATGTTTACAGATCACCACTGCTGCTGCTGGTGCTCAGGGTGGAGGCGGAAGCCACAGAGTCATGGGGAAGGCTTGCTGAGCCAGGGAGGTTTCTGCATCACCACCACTGCTGCTGCTGCTCTGGGTGGAGGGGGAGGCCACAGGGTCATGCTGGGGGGCTTGGTGAGCCAGGAAGGTTTGTGGGTCTCCACCACTGCTGCTGGAGCTCTGAACAGAGGAGGCCACAGTGTCATACTAAAAGGATTGGAGAACCAGGGAGGTTTTTGGTTCTGCACCACTGCTGCCGGTGCTCTGGGTGGAGGGAAAGGCCACAGGGTCATGCTAGGGAGCTTGTTGGGCCAGGGACATTTCTGGGACTCCACCACTGCTGCCGGTGCTCTGGGTGGAGGGGGAGGCCACAGGGTCATGCTGGGGGGCTTGGTGAGTCAGGGACATTTCTGGGTCTGAACCACTGCTGCTGGTGCTCTGGGCGGAAAGGGAGGCCACAGGATCGTGCTGGGGGGCTTAACTGAAGCTCTCTGGCTTCCTCTGCAGGCCGGCAGGTGCACTGGCCAGAAAGGGGCTCTTCTGCTGAATGCTGTGAGTCCGCTTCAGTGGGAGAAAAAAGGTGGAAACTTCAACGGATAGGGAAAAACAGTTGGGAACCCCAAAAGGAAGGGACTGTGGTCGGACAGTAAACTGCTTCTTTTGTTTTGTTTCTTCCGAAATAATGTAGGATGCCATGGGAAAACTGAATCATTCTCCTTTGATTGCCACAGATAGGTTCTCAGCCTGGAATCCCATGGCCGCCAAGAGCTGGGTTGTTTTGGGGTTGAAGTGGTCTAGGATTTGTTCTTCATATATTGTCAGAGGCAACTCCTGGCCACTGTTCACCCACAGGTCCCTCACCACTTCTTCTAGTGCTGTCTGCTCCCTGGGGTCTATCTACTGTTAATAGTTTATTATTGAGGCTTTTTGAGACCTCAGGAAAAGTATACTGGGGAAAAATATCTTCCATTTTAACGTTTTGCCGTGAAGACCCTAACACTGCATTAGCGGAAGGACAGAACTTCGCCCACATGTGATGTAACGTTACTCCGAGCTCCAAACATCCATGGCGGGGCATTGGTAGCCCTGGCCCAGGAAGAGTTCTGGGGCTATGTAGGTAGGGGTAGGTGCCACAAAGGGCTGTCAGCTGCTGTCCCTCATGGAATGTGGTACCTAAGCCGAAGTTCGTGATCTTAATGTTACCGTCCTTAATGTTACCCAGCTGCGTGAGCTCTGGGGAAATCAAGGCAGGCGGTTTGCCTTCCCAGGACCTGCTGCAGGTGGGCACCCCTAAGGAAGCCAAGGGGACAGGACAAGTTCTCAGGAAACCTCTGCCCAAAGTTTGTTTTTTCCACTCTACAAGAAGCTATCAGTACCTACTATGTGCAACAGACAGAGCCCTACAGCCAACTTTAGATATTAACCAGGAAAGCCAGGGGTCCGGTCTCCAGAGGACCCACCTCCCCTGTCCTGCAGGAAGGCTGAAGGAAAATGTTAGGCAATTCAACCTAGCAAACATTTACCCAATGCCAGCTGGGCCCAAAGTCCAGTGTCAGGCACAGAAGAGTCCAAAAGAATTTACTGATCCTAGTTCTGTCCTCCTAGTGCTGACCTTGACAAGCCACAGTAGAAAATGCCCTGTGCCCCAGGGCAGGAGCCACTGAAGAGCTGAGGGACACTGAAGGGAAGAACAAGTCCCACCTTGGGCAGCCAAGGAGGGCTCCCTGGAGGAGGGGACACCTGAGAGGCAATGCCAGAGGAAGCATGGCTTCTGAAAGCAGAGTTCAGGAGGGGAAGGTGCTCCAGGCAGAAGAGGCAGCATAAGGAAAGGTGAGGAGGGGGGCATCTTTAGAGACCCTGAGCTAGTCCAGTTCTGTGATGCAAGAGCCACGGGTGGGCCAGGAAATAGCTATGACAACACTGACTGGAGGAGGACACTCTGCAGGTGGCTTCTGACCAAAAAGGCAGATCCCAGCCACGTGGGGAGAGCCCCCAATGTCCAGGAAGATGCAGCAGGAGACAGGCAGTGCATCCAGTGGGAAAGAGCTCAGGCGACAGAGTCAGACATCCTGGATCCCAGCCCCTGCTCAGCCACCCATGAGGTGTGTGACCATGAGCAAGTTACTGAAGCTCTCTGGGCCTCAGTTTCCTCATTTATATAGTGGGCATCAGACCATTCATAAGCACAATAAGACGCTGTACTTACCAAGGGAATAGCACATTGCCTGACACCCGGGGGCAGCCATCTACCACAGTTTATTGAGCAATTCTCTTTCTTGACACTCATCAGTCTAGATAAGGCACATCCTTTCTGGGACTGCCAGACTCTAAAAGCTTCCAAGGGTCAAGTTCATCTTCACAGTGGAGACTCTGACCAGAAAAGAAGTTGCAGGCTCAGAAAAAGAGGCAAAAGGGATGACGAAAATACTCATCAAAGTATTTCGGGGCGAGGAGGACCAAGTAGAAAGCATGACACCCTCAGAGTGGGCAAGGAAGGGAGTTAACCATTTCCTTGCTGCAAAGGTGGGGCCTTGAGATGGGCTGCTAGTAAATGACCCAGTCTGTGGAGACCAGATGACGTCCTACTCTGGAACTGGCTGCAGGTGCCATCAATCCTTCAGGAGAGCGGGCAGTGTGAGAGGAAACCATCCAGGCTTGCTGGGATGTCCTGGCATGATGGTGGCCAGGGAAGGCCCACAGCAGGCACCTCCCCAGTCCTGACATCCCCACCACCCTCGTGGGGAGAACAGACGCACACTCAGGAAAGAAGTGACTTTAAAGGGGCTTCACTAGAACCACAAGGATGAGCCATAGCAAGTGCTGGCCAGGACATAGAGATGGTGGCACCTTCACACACTGCCCCTGGGAATCTGAGAAGGGGCAGCCACTTGGGAAAGCACCTGGCAGCTCCCAAACAGTTAAACACAGAGTTATCCTACGCCCCAGCAATTCCACTCCTACCCAAGAGACCGGAAAACACACATCCACATGTGAGTGCTCACAGCACCATTATTCATAACCACCAAAATATGAAAACAACCCAAGGGTCCATCAAAGGATGACCAGAGAAGCAAAATGCAGTTGATCCCTGCAATGGAAAGTTATTTAGCAACACAAAGGAACAAAGCGTGGACACACGCAACAACACAGATAAACTTTGAAAACGTGCTCAGTGAGAGACACCAGTCACAAAACACTGTACGCATGGACGTATATGGCTGCATGCACCGTGCGATTCTATTCCCATGAAACGTCCAGAACCGGCAAATGCAAAGAGACAGAAAGCAGATTCGTGGTTATCAGGGGCTGGAGAGAGGAGAGAATAGGGAGTGAAGCAATGGGTATGGAGCTTGCTTTTGGGGTGATGAAAATGTTCTGAAACTGGATACTGGTGATGGTTGCACAGCTGTATGAATCTAACAAGAAATGCTGAATCGTATCCTTAAAATGGGTGAATTTCATGTGATATAAGTGTCGATAAAAATAACCACCTATTTTTTTAAAAGTGACTTAAGGCAGGAAATAGAGTGGTCATGAACAGGGATTGCAAACTACAGCCCCTGGGCCAAATGTAGTCACCTATTTCTATAAATAAAGTTTTATTAGAACATAGCCATACCCATTCATTTCCACATCATCTAAGGCTGCTTTAGTGGGACAATGGCAGAGCTGAATAGTTGCCACAGACACCATATGGCCAGGAAAGCCCACAATATTTACATCCAGCCTCCACAGAAGCTTGCCACCCTCTGCCCAGGAGGGAAAACTCTGGGGCCAGGCTTGGCTGCATATTAGCTCCATATCTGTTCTGTGTGTGTGCACACTCAGGTGAGTGTGTGGCTGTGTTCATTCTCTGTGCATCGTCCAGTCGCCATACAGGAAATGAGCTAGGGTGTGTGAAGTGCCCCTAAGAATGCCTGGCCGCAAGGTGGACTCAAACTTTGCTCATTCTGCTCCCAAGAACAGCTTATACTCCCCACAAACCCTGTAGACAGGATCCCATCACCTCTTGCACCACTCTTTCTTCAGCTTCCCTCTGCTTTGAGAAGAAAGGTGAATCCCACGCTGACAGACAGGACCCTGTACACCCTGCATCTCACCCCACTCCATGCTTCAGTCTCCTCCAGAATAAAAGGACCTTCCCTGCCTGGCACACTGGCTCTGAGGTCTGGACCAGGAAGCAAAACCTGCCCCCAGAGCCCGAGCAGGAGGCACGGCCCCAGCCAGCCTCTCCCAGCCTCCCATTGTGACTGAGAATCTTGGCTTCCCCAAGATGTGCTGCTCCAAGGACCAGCACTGTGACCAGCAGGGTCTGGCTCCAGGGTCCGCCACAGCTCTGAGCACACAGGCCCTGCTGCAGGGACCCCTGAGCGCCAGGAGTGGCCATGGCTCAATGCTACCGAAGGCTTGGGGCCCACCTCACAGGTGGGTTCTGCCTCTTCAGCACCTCCGCCAGCAGCAACTTCACCTCCCTGACTGAAGCTGCCCTCCAGGGAACCTGCAGGGTTGGATGCCAGAGGAGTGGGAAACACAGAGAGGCCAGGTTCATAGTAGAGGGACGATCCAGCATGGGCTACAGAGGACAAACAGACAGGGGGACGTCCTCACCCTCGGAGTCCAGGGCCTGGATCTTCAGCTCTGTGGGGGAGTCCTCCAGGTAGAGCTCGCGGATGGTGGAGACAATCTGGATGTCATGGATGAGGTCCACGATGGCATCACAGCGCAGGACCTGGCCTGTGGCTGGAGGAACCCCAGGGAGAAGTCAGCACTGAAGACAGCACCTGCCCCTGGCTCCACCTCCAAGCCTTGCAGGCTTACACTTTGGCAAAGACCACAGCGACCACCAGCTTCACCCTCAGAAGCCAGGCAGCTGCCTCGCACATGGCCCCACTGACAGTTAACAGGGACTACCAGAAAGGAAGGGCTGTGGGGGCCTTGTTACCACCTGGTCTGGCTTCTTAAATGCAGGGCACCAGCATTTAAAGCTGTGGGCAAAGAAAACTCCAGAAAAACGTAGTTTCATTCAGGGTATAACCCTTCAGTGAAGTGACAAGGGTTATAGTATGATGAGTTCCCATCCCAAAGACGAGAGCCCTGTCCCTTCACTGAGCTTAGGGATTACGCTGGTGGTTTTGTTTATTTTTGTTTCTTTTGAGATAGGGGCTCAATTTGTTGCCCAGGCTGGAGTGCAGTGGCTCCCGGGGTCAAATGATTCTCCTGCCTTGGCCTCCCTAGTATTTGGGACCACAGGCATGCATACACCACCATGTCTGGCTAATTTTTAAAAACTTTTTATAGAGTCAAGGTCTTGTTTTGTTGCCTAGGCTGGTCCTATACTCCTGGGCTCAAGTAATCCTCCTACCTTGGCCTCCCAAAGTGCTAGGATTACAGGTGTGAGCCATTGCGCCCAGCCTATGATGGTATATTTATATGATTATCAAGCATATTGTAGAAGGGGCTCATGGACACTCATACAGATGTTTTTTACTCGCTCCATAAAAAGGTACGTAAATGGCATTACCTGGGGAATTCTGAAATGTAAGCATAGCAGCAGGATACAACATTTTTCTGACTCTTCTCCAGGTACTTGTACATTGTTAACATTGTTTTGTTGGAAAGCAATACAGTCCCATGTATCAAAAACCTTACAAATAGGCTGAGCAAGGTGGCTTATGCCTGTAAGGGCACTCAGCCCTTACTGATGTCCTCTGTGAAGATGATGCTGGTGAGGCGGGCAGGCTGGGTCAGGCGGGCCTGCACCACCGCCTACTGGGAGCACTGCTGCTTGTCCAGGCCAAGTGGCTTGATAGTGGCCACCTCCAGCGGGGCGGACAACCTGCAGTAGAAGAAGAGAACATTTAGTCTCTGGAGCTGCACTGCAAGGCACAGCGGGGTCCAGACATCAGGCTGAGAAAGTAATCTCAGAATATCTGTTGGCTCACACAAGGCAATATAAATCTCAAGCCAAGGGTCCAAGAAAAACCAAGGAATCTGCCGCATCCTCCCTAAGCTCTCCAAATGCCATTTGTCCTGAGAGAAACTTTTTTGACTCAAGTTCCCCACCAAGAACTGTGGAATTCCCCATGAACATTCAAAACACTAACAGGTTTAGAAAAGAAAAACTATACTGACTTTTGGCCTGATTCCTGTGGAGTCACCGGACCCCCATCTTTTGCAAAGTCCTGAGAAAACAGCAGCGGCAGGAGGTTGATGGCGATCCCATCCTGAGTGTTGTATTCCTCCAGTCCGTACAGTGCTTTCACAGGAAATGGAAAGTCACTGCGGAGAAAAACCAGAATCTGATGCTGCAGCTCAGGAATACGCAAGGCTACAGGGAAAACCACTAGAGCAAACCAATTTCAAATACAACATCATGGGGAGAAATTAGAAACAGAAGAACAAACAGTGAAACTTTTAGGAATTTTGGAGCTAAGGGTGCAGGGTTGCTGGGGTTGGCAGGAAAGAAGCTGTGCGACTGGGCAGCTGTGGCTGAGGTCAAGGGTATTCTGAAGTTTGTATCAGCTACTGACAGAATTGATGTAACTTCACCAGTACAACCAAGCCAGCAGGTAAACAATACCTACCCTTCCGGAACAACACAGGAGTCCACTACGAAGGCATCCTGGAAATCATTGCAGATGGTATGCCCAACACGTTCCTTCAGGAAGCAAACAAACAAAAAGGGCAGTGCAGGGTGTACTTGCTGTAGAGCCCTAGATAAATTACTCTTAACCTTTCTAAGTCTCAGTTCTCTCATTTCTAAAAAGAAAGTAACAATAAATATCTCATTATTGTGAAGCAGAAAAGAGACAGTGCATAAAAAGCACTTAGCACAAGGCCTAGCATAGAATAGGGCTCTCAGACAGATAGTAGCCATCATCATTAACAAAGTCAATCTTTTCTTTACTATTGTTATTGTTATTAAGTGAAGGAAGCCTCAGAGAAGAGCCCTGAGACAGGGTAGGGCAGAAAAGCCTTTCGCAGTTAGAATTTAGGAGAGGTCACAGGATGATCTATTTTCACACTGCAACAGAAAGACCTGAAGAGTGTAGTAAAGCAGCTCTCATGCTTTATTGCTTTAAGAAAAGACAATTGGCTTTACCAGGGCTTTTGGATCCAGCTTTTCTTGTTGGATCAGGTTGGCAAATTCATCATAGTAAAGTGCAGAGGCCTGAGGAGACTGCTCACTGCAGGAATGAACCAACTGCAACAAGGAGGTCACCTGGAGCAAAGAGGAAGAATGGTTTAAGCCTTGGGCTGCCAATCCTTCCCAAACTCCATTCGCCCCATTCAAGACTGTTTTTTTCACTTTCTGATTTTACTGGCAAAGCTCTACTTCTCATTTGAAGTTTTCCTGAATGTTCTGACCCGTCTGTCTTTTTCCAATATCATCCCTTTTCCAATCTGTCAGACACTGCAGCCAGATTAATTTTTCTAAAGCAAAGCTTTGATTTTTGCCATTTCCATGCTAAGAAACCCTTAAGGAATACCTCTGCCTAAAGAATGAAATAAAAATGTATTGTTTTGCATGCAAGGCTGTCTGTTTTCTCTCTCAACTCGCTTTTTCTTTTTTCCTTTTGAGATAGAGTCTCGCTCTGTCATCCAGGCTGGAGTATAGTGGTGTGATCTTGGCTCAAAGCAACCTCCACTTCCCGGATTCAAGAAATTCTCTTGTCTCAGCCTCCTGAGTAGCTGGGATTACAGGCACCTGCCTCCATCCATGGGTAATTTTTTTTTACTTTCATTAGAGATAGGATTTCACCATGTTGGCTAGGCTGGTCTCAAACTGCTTACCTCAAGTGATCCTCCTGCCTCAGCCTCCCAAAGTACTGGGATTACGGGTGTGAGCCACCGTGCCCTGCCTGAACTAGCTTTATGTCCCACTTTCCAGTTATACACTTATTTGTTCCCATGCTTCAACCAAAGTGTTATTCAATAGATATGGCACATCTTTCTTGCTAAGACTTTATAATTTAATTGGAGAGATTAAATGGATATAGAAATAAATGCAAGCGACCTGGGAGTGGTGGCTCACCTCTGTGATCCCAGGGCTTTGGGAGGCTGAAGGGGGCGGATCACCTGAGATCAGGAGTTTAAGATCAGCCTGACCAACATAGCAAAACCCCGACATGGTGAAACCCCGTCTCTACTAAAAACACAAAAATTAGCTGGGCGTGATAGTGCATGCCTGTGATCCCAGCTCCTCAGAAGGCTGAGGCAGGAGAATTGCTTGAACCCAGGAGGCACCACTGCACTCCAGCCTGGGAGACAGAGTTGAGACTCCATCTCAAACAAAGTAAGTGCGACCCAAGCCAGTAGTTTCCAAGTATCATAAAATCACAAAGATAGGAGTTCAGGAAAACTTTTTTTTTTTTTTTTCCTTTTTTTGAGACAGAGTCTTGCTCTGTCGCCCAGGCTGGAGTGCAGTGGTGTGATCTCGGCTCACTGCAAGCTCCGCCTCCCGGGTTCAAGCAATTCTCTGCCTCAGCGACCCTAGCAGCTGGGATTACAGATGCCTGCCACCACGCCGGGCTAACTTTTATTTTTTTTATTTTGTATTATTTTTGGAGAAGAACTCACGTGTGTGCACTGCTCATTGCTCAGGTTGGCTCTCTCTTGGGTCAAACTAGATGATGCGCTCCTAAAAGCAAATAATTTTAATTTCACTTTTGTAATATTTTATAACAATTGCCAATAAGTTTAAGTATTCTGACTTCCCTAGGGTACAGTAAAGATAAAAGTACATGAAGGGAGAAAAGAGTATTTATTTTGTCCATACAAAATACAGATTAGAGCAAAATATTGTTATCTTATATATATTTTTCTTTTCTCTTTTTTACTTTTTTTTTTTTTGAGACAGAGTTTCGCTCTTGTTGCCCAGGCTGGAGTGCAATGGCATCATCTCGGCTCACCACAACCTCCGTCTCCCAGGTTCAAGCGATTCTCCTGCCTCAGCCTCCCGAGTAGCTGAGATTACCGGCATGCGCCACCACACCCAGCTAATTTTGTATTTTTAGTAGAGACTGGGTTTCTTCATGTTGGTCAGGCTGGTCTTGAACTCCTGACCTCAGGTGATCAGCTCACCTCGGCCTCACAAAGTGTTGGGATTACAGGCGTGAGCCACCGAGTCCGGCCTGCTCATTTCTCTTACAGTTGTAACGTCTACCGTTAAAATGATGTCTATGCGATGTAACACTGTTAGCTGGCAAGATTAACTCATCTTAAACCACGGAAGTCAGAATCTCCATGTGTACCTGTCTGCTGCCATGATGCCATCCACGATGACAGCACCAAAAATCCCAAAGAGTTTGTACTTGAATATGGTGCTAGAGAGCTGCTTTCTTATTACCAAGTGCATGTCATCCTGCAGTGAGATAATGAAGAAAGACGGTAATGCTGGAATTGCACAGCAAAAGAAGGTATGGTATGGATATTGAGCCATGCAGCTAGACTATAAAGGGGTCTATCGTTTACTGTTTTTTGTTTTGTTTTGTTTTTTTGAGACGGAGTTTTGCTCTTGTTGTCCAGGCTAGAGTGCAATGGCGCAATCTCGGCTCACTGCAACCTCCACCTCCTGAGTTCAAGCGGTCAACCTCAACCTCCTGGGTAGCTGGGATGACAGGTGCCTGGCACCACACCTGGCTAATTTTGTATTTTTAGTAGAGACGGGGTTTTACCATGTTGGCCAGCCTGGTCTTGAACTCCTGACCTCAGGTGAACCACCCACCTCAGCCTTCCAAAGTGCTGGGATTATAGGGGTGAGCCACCACACCCAACCCTGTGTGTCTTTAGCAAGTCATTTCATCTCTCCAAGTTTTAATTTTTACATCTGTGAAATGGGGAAAGTTGTTTTAAGGATTAGAGGTAAATTATGAAAAAACTTCTAGAACAGTGTCTGGCATATGATAGACATTCAATAATAATAGCTTTTATTGTTATTATTTCTATAAGGATATGAAAATTATCATAATGTTGATGACTGCTCAGCTAAAATAATGAATTATAATAAAATACTTAGGTACAGATTTAAACATGGAGGCAAGGCTAGCCGCAGTGGCTCATGCCTGTCATCCTAACACTTTGGGAGGCTGAGGCAGGTAGATTGCTTGAACCCAGGAGTTCAAGACCAGCCTGAGTAACATGGCAAAACCTCATCTCTATAGAAAACACAAAAATTAGCCAGCCGTGGTGGTGCATGCCTGTGGTCCCAGCTACTCGGAAGCTGGGGTGGGAGCATCACCTGAGCCTGGGAAGTCAAGAATACAGAGCCAAGATCACATCACTGTACTCTAGCCTGGGTGACAGAGCCAGACACTGTCTCAAAATAAAATAAAATAAATAAACATTGCTGAAAAACTAAAGACATAAGTAAACAGAAAGAGCTATTGTCTTTGTGGACTGGAAGACACTCAATATTGTTAAGATGACAATACCATTCAAAGTGATTCAGCACAATCCTTATCAAAGTCCCACAACACGTTTTGCAGAAATAGAAAGATCCACACCAAAATTCACATGGAATTTCACGGGACCCCAAACTGCCAAAACCTTGAAAAAGAACAAAGTTGGAGGGCTCACACTTCCTGATTTCAATATTAATACAAAGCTACAGTAGTCAAAACAGTGTGGTGATGGCAGGACAGACATATAGACCAATGAAACAGAACACAGAGTTCAAAGATAAGCCTTCATATATGTGACAAATTGATTTTTGACAAGGGTTCCAAAATCATTTCAATGGTGAATGGACCATCTTTTCAACAAATGGCACTGGAAAAACTGGATATCCATCTGCAAAAGAATGAAGTTAAATCCTTAAAATATTAAAATATGCTATATACAAAAATTAACACAAAGTGGATCAAAGACCTGAATTTAAGAGCTAAAACTTTCTCTTAGAAGAAAATAAAAGAAAACCTTCATGACCTTGGATTCTGCAATGGTATCTTAAGCATGACAACCAAAAGGACAAGCAACACAGGAAAAAAAATTGATAGAGAGTGGGTCGTACAGCTTTGGAGTGGCAACCTTCGTGGTGCCAGTGACGATAAAGAGAATTAAATATGGGTGATGTTGAGAAAGGCAAGAAGATTTTTGTGCAAAAAGTGTGCCCAGTGCCACACGGTAGAAAAGGGAGGCAAGCACAAGACTGGGCCTAATCTCCATGGTCTCTTCGCGCGGAAGACAGGTCAGGCCATTGGATTCTCTTACACAGACGCCAAGAAGAACAAAGGCATCACCTGGGGACAGGACAAACTGATGGAGTATTTGGAGAATCCCAAGAAGTACATCCTTGGAAGAAAAACGATCTTTGCCGGCATTAAGAAGGCAGAAAGGGCAGACTTGATAGCTTATCTCAAAAAAGTTACTAATGAGTAATAGTTGGCCACTGCCTTATTTATTACAAAACAAATGTCTCATGACTTTTTTATGTGTTCCATACTTTAATAGATCTCATACACAGGAATTCAGATCATGAATGGCTGACAGAATATTTTGTTGGGCAGTCGTGGTTTAAAACTAAGGCTGGCTTGTGGTTAAATGAATATGTTGTTTTTGAATTTTAATAGTAATTCCAATTCAGTAAATGCTATCACTGTTTACCCCTTCTAAAGATAAGATGAGACTTCCTTAGCAATGTTCAACTTTTCACAAAGATGGTGAGTCCTATCTTAAAACTTAATGGAGGCCAAGCACAGTAGCTTACACCTGTAATCCCAGCATTTTGGGAAGCCGAGGTGGGCAGATCACTTGAGGTCAAGAGTTCGAGACCAGCCTGGTCAACATCAGGTGAAACTCTGTCTCTACTAAAAATACAAAAATTAGCTAGGCATGGTGGTGGGCACCTGTAATCCCTGCTACTAGGGATGCTGAGACAGGAGAATTGCTTGAACCTAGAAGGCAGAGTTTGTAGTGAGCCGAGATCATGCCACTGCACTGTAGCCTGGGCGACAGCAAGACCCCATCTCAAAACAAACAAACAAACAAACAAACAAAACAAAACAAAAAACTTAATGGAGATTGATTTTATATTTAGATTTATATAACTGGTTATATGAATATATTCAAATACTGAGGAAATTCCTTCACTGTCTTAGAACCAAGCAAGATTCACCTGTGTTTTGTGTTCGTTTGCCTCTTAAAGGCAAGGGTTGGAGATAAATAAGGTAGCAATGTCTCGTTTATATTTTTGGCCTTAACTATGCCAATCTAATTAGAATTCCCTGTATTTAAAATGGTGCCTTTAACTTATTGAAAGGCATTTTAGTGTGCTTTATGTGTAATATCAAAGATTATTTAACACTTCTCACATTTTATACATGATCTATAAGGTCACATGCTTTTAAAATAGTAGCAAGTTAAACTTCGCTCTTGAATTCTTTACAATCAAACTCAAACTAAATTATAATTTAGGATTGTCTTTAAAGAGCCATTCAGAAACATAAAACTGTAAAACTGCTGTGTATTTGTGATTGGGAATGGTGCTTTTGCCATCTTAAAAGGATTAAAGTAGAAGAGATATACACAAATTTTAACATTATGTGTGATCATAAGACTTAAGATAATTAAAAAGAAAACCACAGATGAAAAAAAAAAATAGGTAAGGCCAGGTGCAGTGGCTCACATCTGTAATCACAGCACTTTGGGAGGCCGAGGCAGGCAAATCACAAGGTCAAGAGACCGAGACCATCTTGGCCAACATAGTGAAACCCCATTTCTACTAAAAATACAAAAATTAATTGGGCGTGGTAGCACGCACCTGTAGTCCCATCTACTCAGGAGGCTGAGGCAGGAGAATCGCTTGAACCCGGGAGGCAGAAGCTGCAGTGAGCTGAGATCGCGCCACTGCACTCCAGCCTGGGCGACAGAGCAAGACTCCATCTCAAAAAAAAAAAGTAGATAAATTTGACTTTATTGAAACTAAATACTTTTGTGCATCAAAGGACACTATGAGGGGAGTGAAAACCCATAGAATGGGAGAAAATATTTGCAAATCATATATCTGATAAGAGATCAATATCTAGAATATACAAATAACTCCTATACCTCAACAACAGCAAAACCCCAGTTTAAAAATGGGCAAAGGGCTGAGCACAGTGGCTCGTGCCTGTAATGCCAGCACTTTCAGAGGCAGAGGCGGGTGGATCTCCTGAGCTCAAGAGTTTGAGACCAGCCTGGGTAACATGACGAAACCTCATGTCTACCAAAATTGCAAAAAATTAGCTGGGCACGGTGGTGCACGCACCTGTGGTCCCAGCTACTCAGGAGGCTGACATGGGAGGATCGCTTGAGCCTGGGAGGTAGAGGTTGCAGTGAGCCAAGATCACACCACTGCACTCCAATGTGTGTGACAGAGTGAGACCCCATCTCTAAAACAAAACAAACAAAAATGGGTAAAGGACTTGAATAGACATTTCTACAAAAATATAGAAATGGCCAAGAAGTATGTGAAAAGATGCTTAACATCATTAGTCATTAGGAAATGCAAATCAAACCACAATGAGATACCACTTCGTACACATCGGGATGATTATAATTAAAAAATAGGGCCAAGCGACATGGCAGGTACCTGTTGTCCCAGGTACTCAGGAGGCTGAGGCGGGAAGACTGCTTGAGCCCAGGAGTTTGAGGCTGCAGTGAACTATGATCACACCACTGCACTGCAGCCTGGGTGACAGAGCAAGACCCTATCTAAAAATATATATATTTTTATTTATTAATAAATAAATTAGTTAATAAAAATTAAAAGAAATTTTTTTAAGAATGGAAAATAAATGTTGGCAAGGATATGGAGAAATTGGAGCCTACATGCATTGTTGGTAGGAATGTAAAATTATGCAGCTGCTGTGGAAAGCAGTTTGGTGGTTCCTCTAAATGGTAAACATATGGTCATCATATGATCCAGCAATTCCACTCTTAGATATATATACCCTAAAGAACTGAAAACAGGGACTCAAATATTTGAACAAATCCATAGACAGAATGTGATTAGTGATTATTAGGAGGTGGGGACAGAAAGATGGCGAATTATTGCCTAATGGGCACAAAGTTTGTTTGGGATGATCAGAAAGTTCTAGAAAAGGATAGTGATAATGGTTGTACAACATTGTGAATATACTTACTGCTACTAAATTGCATCCTTAAAAACAATTTAAATGGCATATTTTATGTTATGTATATTTTATCAAAATTCAAAAATAAAATAAAATAGTGAAGTGGATTTTTATTACTGATTTGAAGCAATCTCCAAAATAAACTGCTAAATGCAAAAGGTAAGATGTAGATCAAGAGGGGAAAGGAAACTACAGGTAAATACAAATTTGTAAATTCTCAGAACATCTCAGAAGGTTATAAAGTGATTGCCCCTGTGGGAGACAAACCAGGTGCCTAGAGGACTGAGAAGTGAGAGTTATTTTTCACTGGATACCCTTCTATATGTTTTGAATTTTATATGACACATGTATATTACCTAGTCCAGAATTTTTTTTAATTAAAAAAATGTGTTGACTGGAGACTCAAGAAAGGTGTGGGTGGGGGGAGATAAAAAATATATTGGTTGTTCAAAGTCACAGTCCAGTATGAATTACTGCCTTAAGATAGCACTAAAGATACAAATGAGTTACAAGTTATGATTCCAATCTAATCTCTTTTTATTTATTTATTTATTTTGAGATAGAGTCTCTGTTGCCCAGGCTGGAGTGCAGTGGCACAATCATGGCTCACTGTAGCCTCAACTCCCAGGGCTCAATGGATCCTCCCACCTCAGCCTCCTGAGTAGCTAGGATTACGGGTGTGCCACCACACCTGGCTAATTTTTGTATGTTTTTGTAGAGACAGGGTTTCACCATGGTGTCCAGGCTAGTCTCAGACTCCTGGACGCATGTGATTTGCCTGCCTTGGCCTCTCAAAGTGCTGGGATTACAGCCTGGCTTTTTCAGTGAATGGTGTCCACAAACGAAAGCAAGCCCACGTGAAGTTCACATTAGATGGAGATGTTTCTTAGGAAACAAGGCAATTCTGTGTCCCCACTGCACTCAGAACCTGAACAGTTTCATGGTTAGCTGATCACAGACCCATCTCTTCCCTAATAAACAAAGCTTTTCAAGGGCAGAGGATCTCATGTATCAGTGCCTGACACAGGATAGGCACTTAATGTTTGTGGTAAGAATAAAAAAATGCTGGAACTATGGCTATGTACTCCATTTCCACTACTACACACAGGCAAATCTATCATTTGCTTGTGTGTGTGTTTTTTTTTCCCCAGCAAATTTCAAGTAAAGAGGTTTAAAAATACGAAATACTAAAAATACAAAAATTAGCCAGGTGTGGCGGCATGTGCCTGTAGTCCCAGCTACTCGGGAGGCTGAGGCAGGAGAATTGCTTGAACCCAGGAGGTGGAGGTTGCACTGAGCCAAGAGCATGCCACTGCACTCCAGTGCAGGTGACAGAGCTAGACTCCATATCACACACACACAAAAAAGTCCAGGTGCGGTGGCTCATGCCTGTAATCCCAGCGCTTTGGGAGGCCGAGGCAGGCGGATCATGAGGTCAGGAGATCGAGACCATCCTGGCTAACATGGTGAAACCCCTTCTCTACTGAAAATACAAAAAAATTAGCTGGGCATGGTGGTGCATGCCTGTAGTCCCAGCTACTCGGGAGGCTGAGGCAGGACAATCGTGTCAACCCGGGAGATGGAGGTTGCAGTGAGCCAAGATCATGCACTGCACTCTAGCCTGGGCGACAGAGGGAGATTCCAAAAAAAAAAAAAAAACAAAAACCAAAAACAAATCGTCCCCAACATATTGCCTCTTACCTGGATGTGACTGCTGGCTTCATTCTGTTTGCTAAATGCCAGTGTGCTGAGAGCATTGAAGAGTTTTCATATTTGCTGAGGAGATATGTTATCCAGATAATCTAAAATGCCCTGCAGAAAAGATGATGCCAACAATGAGGCTAGTAGCTAACATTTTTCCCTTAAAAATCAAAAAATTAAAATCCCTATAAGAGAGGCACACATATCAGATAGCCAGGTATCTAAAACTTTTTAGCTGCCTTAAAAGCTCAAGTTCTAAAAGCTATGCTCAGAGCCCAAAGGTTTGATAGACTGGATATAAACTGAGAAACTCTTCCAGCTTTCTAAATCTCTTATTATCAGAGACTAGGAACTAACTATCAGGAAAGATAAAGTTTTCTTTATCCTCTTCACTCTGAACCACAATCCCAGGCTTTAATCATCTACTGCTTAGTCATTCTAATGCACCTCCCAGTTCTCAGTATTCCTTACCTCCACCTTTCCCCCTTTTTCAGTGAAAACAATATTCTACCAAAAGTTATGTCTTTACCCTATTCCTTGCCATATCATCCCTTCCCAGCTTCTACTCCATGAATTATTTCTCCTTTCTCTACAGATCTGGAAGGAGTCACAAGGAAACTATTTACTTTGTGACCGTGGGAAATGTCTCAGCTTTTCTCATCTGTAACATGGTGATAATAATAGCTATACTACCTTTCATGGTTTGTCTGAGGATAAAGTAATAAAACAGTTTTGTAAACTTCTAATTAATTTTGAAACTTTTCTATTTCTTCCTCTCTATTGAATCCTTTCTCTCAGCCTACAAGCAATCTCAAACCTCCTCGTCTAAAAAACATCTCCCTTGCAACCAGCTTCTCTCTCAAGCTACTTTTCTTATTCTCTCCTGGATGCTTCTCGACATTGACTCTGTTCCCCAAGTCTTCAAGTTACTGCTGTCTGACTTCCACCCTTATAATTCAATTAACACTGTTCTCTCAGAGGTAACCAGAGGTATCCTAATTGCCAAAGCCAATAGCCTCTGCTCCATCTTCAACCTCTACAGTGTCCAACACTGGAGATAAATCCCTCACTCTTGAAACTCATTCCTGGGCTTTTGCTACCTGACATCCTTCAAGCTCACATTATTCATCTTCTAGTTTTCTCATTTTCCTTCTACGGACATTTGCTTTCATCTGCCACTTAAACTTTAACGTTCTCAAAATGTCTATGCTCTTCTAAGCTTCTATGGTCTTCTGCCTCAAAATTGCCTCAGTAGAGCTCACATCTATATGGTTCTGAATACCCAAACTAAATCTTCCACGAAAGGGTGCCCCACAGAGTTCCAAACCAGAATTTCCAACTATCCACTAACCATCTACATGTGGCTATCCCATAGTGAACTCATCATACTTCCTACAGAAGACGCACTCCCCTCCTGGTCTCAGGAAATGGCACAACCATTCACCTGGTTTCCTAAGATGAAAAACTCGGACCTAGTTTTCTTGTTTCTTATTGCCACATATTCTTAACAGTCACCAAGTCATGTTAATTCTAACACCAAATTGTCCCCTAAACCATCATTTCTTCCACATTCCCATGACCAAAATCTGGCCCTTACTCTCACTCCCTTACCCTTTCAGTGGTCTCCAATCCGCCCATCACATAGCTACTGAGTTATCTCTGAATGCTGACCAGATTCGGTCAACTCTGTGTAAAAACTGCTAATAGCTCCCTATTGTCTAGAAAATAAAGTTGAAACTCTTTAGCATGTTGAGACTCTTTGCAATATGGGCCTGTCCTATGTCTTACCAGCCTTGCCTCCCATCACTCTTCTCCATATATATCCTATTCTCCAGTCATGCTTGTTTGCTTCTCATTCCTCAGTCACACTATTGACTTGGGCACCAGTCTGCTTCTGCTCAATCTCTTCTCTGCCTAGAACGCACTTCCCATACTTTCTCTTCTCAGTCATTCCCATCCTTCAGCAATCACTCAAATCGTCTCTTTGAAGAATTCTCCAGCTTCCCAGGCAAAATTTAATTATTCTTGCTCTGTTGTATCTATAGTACTTTACCGAAGAATTCACCATGCTGTATTTATAGTAAATTGCTTAGGTGTCTTAGTCTTTAACATCAAAGGCAAGGACCTACTTTACATCCATGGCACCCAGAGTAGAGCTTAGTCTGTGGGTTAGATATAAAGAAGTGTTTGCTGAATCAATTAACACATAGATAGAATAGTTACTTTTTATTTATATTACTTGCCCATTATTTCACCTCTGTCCCACCTCCAGTCCCACCAATTATAGTATTCGATATCTAAAGTACAAGAAGCCAATAAGATGCCTTTACAAAGACAGCATTCATCATCATAGCAGACGGGTTTAACACTACCAACTCTAGGAGGACATCTAACGCAGTATCAACTTCAGCTTCATTCCCACTGCAGATATGGGTCACTAAGGCACCAACCACTTCCTATACAGAGGAGAGTCAATAGGACAATGTAAAACAAAATATGGAATGGCCATTCTAAGAGAATTCACCCCCGAGGCCTCTCCAATCTCTACTTTGTTAAAATCACAATCAACCCAATCCCATCATCTATCATCTAGTTTTCATTAATGTTGGCTTCAGGAGATTTAGGAATATGCCAGTGTAACTTTAGCATCCCGTCTTGACCTATTTCCCATATTTTATCGGTGAGCACTACCTAAGCCCTCCTGATTTTGCTCTTTGGCATAGTTTTCCTCTTTCTTGTTCCCACGTGGGTTAAATTTTACCCTTTAAGTTGAGGTTGTACGAGATCAGTTGAAATTTCTCAAAAAGATGGCACTCAAGGAGCTAAAAGCTTTAAAAGTTTTCTCTATATAGTACAGGCTAGACTTGCATGTTTCCAAGCAAACATGGATCATGATAGTGTCTCTAAGACATTAAGAGGGTTCAAAAATGTCTTGGATGCCATTCTCCCTTTATACCGTCACTCTGTAATAGTCATAACAGAATTACATTCTCAACTGCAACAGCTACCTCATGTCAGCTGCAACTGTTGCTCTACCTTAAATTAAAAAAATTTTTTTTTTACAAATCTTCATTTAAAAAATTCCATTCAAATGCATTTTAACATTGTTAATAATAGGAAGAATATATGTAAAAATACAAAATAAGACACTGTTCTTTACTTGCTTTCATAAACATCTCCCACAAACACAGTCCTCCCTCTCTGGATATATGCTATTAAAATGTGTCTCGGCCGGGCACGATGGCTCATGCGTGTAATCCCAGCATTTTGGGAGGCTGAGGCGGGTGGATCACCTGAGGTCAGGAGTTCGAGACCAGCCTGGCCAACATGGTGAAACCCTGTCTCTACTAAAAATACAAAAAATTAGCCAGGCCTGGTGGTGGGCGCCTGTAATCCCAGCTACTCAGGAGGATGAGACAGGAGAATCACTTGAATCCAGGAGGTGGAGGTTGTAGTGAGCCAAGACTGTGCCACTGCACTCTACCCTGGGCAACAAGAGCAAAACTGTGTCTCAACAACAACAACAACAAAGTGTCTCATGTTTTGACATAAACTGGTACTGGATCTTAATTTCAGACAGAATTTTAGAGCTCAGAACAAAGAGTTAGATCCACCAGTCAAGTCTCTTCATTTCATCAGGCTGGGACTAGGATTGAACTTTCCTGAGATCCAGTTCAGAGTTCCTTCCCCTTCAGTAAGGTCCAACCAACAAGAAATAAACATCAGATTATTTTCCCTTCCCCGTTCCCTCCTTGCCAAAATAAGTGTTTCAACATACCTGCTGGCAGTACGTGTCAAAAAACTTAAAAGCATATTTGTATAGGAGACTTCCAAATGAAATTATACTCTGGTCTAGAGAGTGAGGAAAACTCTGAGCCAGCGACAGAATGGATGAACACATATCCTTAAGAACCTTGAGTGGGGAAGAGTAGAGAGAGAAAAGGAGCTATAAGAAGCAGTTAGTACACAAGCTAAGAGTTGCTTATCCTTTTGGAATGTCAGACCTCTCCTCCCTAACTCTCATTTTAACTTGAGAAATCTTAATCTTTGTTTTACACAGAATAATCCTTCACCATTCTGAGTTTTCTCTCAGCATCAATGGGATTCCACATTTGGATAATAATTGACCTTTAAGCTCAAAGAAGTTAAATTATAAGCCTATTAGTACGTTCCTATCTGCTCAATTTGGCATTGGAGGCCAGCTCTTCTAAATTCCAGTTTCCCCATGCAATCACACTACCCCCCCGAGGGATGCTCCACCTTGGTTATAATTTGAAGTCGGTCTATAAGATTCAATGCTAACTAAACTGATTTTTTTTTTAAAGTTCAAGAAGAGAAGTGATCATGCTCTAACAATAACACAATATACATAGACATTAATGGACCCACAGTAAATAACCAGTTAATAAACATAGCTTCCTTACTGATACCACAATTTTTTTTTTTTTTTTTGAGACGGAGTCTCACGCTGTTGCCCAGGTTGGAGTGCAGTGGCGCGATCTCGGCTCACTGCAAGCTCCGCCTCCTGGGTTCACGCCATTCTCCTGCCTCAGCCTCCTGAGTAGCTGGGACTACAGGCGCCCGCCACCGCGCCCGGCTAATTTTTTGTATTTTTAGTAGAGACGGGGTTTCACTGTGGTCTCGATCTCCTGACCTTGTGATTCGCCCGCCTCGGCCTCCCAAAGTGCTGGGATTACAGGCGTGAGCCACCGCGCCCGGCCGACAATTTTTTAAAAAATCTTACATTTAGTACTCAGCTGGGTATAATGCTTTATTGGGGAAAATACAATGAAAAATTACATATGGTTTCTGCCCTCTAGAAAATTACAGCCCAAAACATATATCATTGGTAGAAATAAACACAGAAAGAACTGCAAGGTAAAATAATACAAACATTAAATCTATTCCTAAATATAAAATTTAAGACCCCATGAAGTATTCTCATTAGCTCCTAACCCAAACCCCAAACCACTGGCCCATCCAGTTTTCTAAGTTCTATACTATTAGTATCCTGAACATTCAGCCAGCAAAACACTATTCCCAGCTTATAAAATTCCAGTTTGAATAACTTACATTTCTAGAGGAATTATCACCTAAAGTCCACAGTTTTGAATGGCCAAAGAGTGACAGTTCAAGTAGGTTCATAATTACGTTTCTGCTAGTTTCTATAGGCGGGTCCTATTCCCTTCAAGGTTTTTATAAGCTACTTAGAATAGGATATGGAAGGTCAGTTTGGCAAAGTTGCAAACTGCATTGAGATAGACAATTAAAATAATTAATGCAAAAATAAAATTCAAAAATCTCAATGGGTTTGAACAATGGACTGAAACAAGATGAAATTTTACATGGGAGCTGTAAAGCTTTCCGTTTTAGATTAAAGATCAATAGTCTCTGACACTTACTAAGTAATGAACAGAGAATGTACTCTGGAGCAGCTGTTCTTGAATGCAGCCTGATCGAATCTTATTTTTTAGCACCTTTCAATGTACTTTTTTGTCTGAGTATTGCTGCTATAGATGATGAAAAGCATCACCAGGTCAAAAATCTATTGTCAATAAATATGCAATAATAGAAAAACAGTTAACAAATCAGTATATTTGCTACAATGAAACAGCAGCTTTTCCCCCATTAAAACACAGAATGGATGATACTCATTTGTTCCGCATACTCCCTTGGGGTTATCCACACTTTTCACAAAATCCAGAAATATTTTTCAGAGCAATAAAGTGCCACAACTATTAACCACTGGTATCTCTTAAGAATACATTGCTATATACATGAAAGTGATATTACTACAGAAGTAACTTTGGACATCTTCACATTTATTAAAAGAAAGATTCAATCACTTGCCAACTCCAGTATGTATTTTCACTATTACTAGGAAAATTACTTTGTGAAAAGTTGGAAAGACTATAAATGCCCATCAATACGAGAAAGGTTCAATAAATTATGATGGAGTAATTTTAAATTTTGGAATATTACACAGTCATCAAAAAGAATAAGCCACGCTAGGCATGGTGGCTCATGCCTATAATCCCAGCACTTTGGGAGCCTGATGTGGGCATATCACCTGAGGTCAGGAGTTTGAGACCAGTCTGGCCAACATGGTGAAACCCCATTTCTACTAAAAATACACACAAAAAAATTAGCTGGTCATGGTGGCAGGTGCCTGTAATCCCAGCTACTCAGAAGGCTGAGGCAGGTGAATCACTTGAACCCTGGGAGGCAGAGGTTGCAGTGAGCCGAGATAGTGCCATTGCACTCTAGCCTGGGTGACACAGCAAGACTCTGTCTAAAAAAGAATTTTTAATTACAAAACTGAAAAAAAAAGAATAAGCTAGACCAGAGGTCCCCAACCCCTGGACCACGGAGTCCATGGTCTGCTAGGAACCAAGCTGCACAGCAGGAGGTGAGTGGCAGTCAAGTGGTCATTACCACCTGAGATCCACCTCCTGTCAGAATAGCAGCTGCATTAGATTCTCATGGGAGTGTGAACCCTATTGTGAACTGCACATGCACCGGATCTAGGCTGCACATTCCTTACGAGAATTTAAGTAGTGCCTGATGATCTAAGGTGGAACAGTGTCATCCTGAAATCATGCCCCAACATGGTCTGTGGAAAAACTGTCTTCCATGAAACCAGTCCCTGGTGCCAAAAAGGTTAGGAACTGCTGAGACATACTATATTTTTTGACAGAGAAAGGACATTCCTGACACGAAGTGGAAAAAACAGCAACCTGCAAAAGGATAATCAGGCTAGGCATGGTGGCTCATGCCTATAATACCACTGCTTTGGGAGGCTGAGGAGGGAGGATCGTTGAGCCCAGGAGGTGGAGGCAACAGTGAGCTATGATTGTGCCACTGCACTCCAGCCTGGTGACAGAGTGAGACCCTGTCTCTTTAAACAACACCACCACCACCCATAATCATAGTTAAGATTCTGCTTTTGTAAAAGCGATATATAAACCTACATATGTGTAGGCGTAAGAGTATACCTGTACTTGTGCATAATTATAGCTTGTATATGAACAGAAAAAAATTGGAAGGATGATTATCTCTGAGGAATGGGACAGAGAGTGGAGAAAAACTGCATTTTTTACATCTGTAGATTTCTTGTGAGTTTTTCTCCACAATTAGCTTGTTTACCTACATTTAAAAAAGAAAAATATGATGACTGGGTGTGGTGGCTCAAGCCTATAATCCCAGCACTTTGGGAGGTCCAAGCAGGAGGATCACTTGAAGCTAAAAATTTGGGACCAGCCTGGGCAACACACCAAGACCTCATCTCTATAAAAAATAAAAGAATTGGCTGGGTATGGTGGCTCACACCTGTAATCCTAGCACTTTGAGAGGCCAAGGCAGGTGGATCACCTGAGGTCAGGAGTTCAAGACCTGCCTGGCCAACATGGCAAAATCCTGTCTCTACTAAAAATACAAAACTTAGCTGGGCATGGTGGCAGGCACCTATAATCCCAGCTACTAGGGAGGCTGAGGCAGGATAATTGCTTCAACCCAGGGGACAGATGTTGCAGTGAGCTGAGATTGTGCCACTTCACTCCAGCCTGGGCGAAAGAGCAAAACTCTGTCTCAGAAAAAACAAAACAAAAAAAGAATTAGCAGGGCCTGGTGGTGCTTGCCTGTAGTCCCAGCTACTCTGAAGATTGAGATGGGAGGATCACCTGAACCCAGGAGTTTGAGGCTGCAGTGAGCTATGGTGCTGCCACCGTACTCCAACTTGGGTGACAGAGCAAGACCTGGTCTCTTAAAACAAAACAAAACAAAGAGAAAACGTTGAGAGTATATTCAGGGCAACTTAAGGCTATGCTTCTAGGAAAACAAACAAACAAAAAAGTTAAAAAGGCAAGCAGGGCCTTTTATCCAAGATGGCCGAATAGGAACAGCTCCAGTCTGCAGCTCCCAGTGTGATCGACGCAGAAGATGGGTGATTTCTGCATTTCCAACTGAGGTACCTGGTTCATCTCACTGGGACTGGTTGGACAGCGGGTGCAGCCCATAGAGGGTGAGCCTAAGCAGGGTGGGGCGTCACCTCACCCAGGAAGCACAAGGGGTCTGGAGATTTCCCTTTAATAGCCAAGGGAAGCCATGACAAACTGTACCTGGAATATCAGGCAACTCACACCCAAATACTGTGCTTTTCCCAACGTCTTAGCAACTGGCAGACAAAGAGCTTCTCTCCTGGGCCCAGCTTAGCAGGTCCCACGCCCATGGGCCTTGCTCACTGCTAGTACAGCAGTCTGAGATCAAACTGCAAGGCAGCAGCCAGGCTAGGGGAGGGGTGTCTGCTATTGCTGAGGCTTGAGTAGGTAAAGCAGCTGGGAAGCTTAAACTGGGTGGACCCCACCACAGCTGAGCAAGGCCTAGCCCTCTATAGTCTCAACCTCTGTGGGCAGTGCATAGCTGAACAAAAGGCAGCAGACAACTTCTGCAGACTTAAACATCCCTGTCTGACAGCTCTGAAGAGAGCAGTAGTTCTCCCAGCATGGCATTTGAGTTCTGCGAAGGGACAGACTGCCTCCTCAAGTGGGTCCCTGACCCCAGTGTAGACTAACTGGGAGACACCTCCCAGAAGGGGCCAACAGACTCCTCATATAGCCTGGTGCCCATCTGGGATGAAGCTTCCAAAGGAAGGATCAGGCAGCAATATTTGCTGTTCTGCAATATTTGCTGTTGTGTAGCCTCCACTGGTGATACTCAAGCAAACAGGGTATGGAATGGACCTCCAGCAAACTCCAACAGACCTGCACTTGAGGGACCCGACTGTTAAAAGGAAAACTAACAAACAGAAAGGATCAACGTCAACAAAAAGGACATCTACACCAAAACCCCATTTGTAGGTCACCAACATCAAAGACCAAAGGTAGATAAAACCACAAAGATGGGGAGAAACCAGAGCAGAAAAGCTGAAAATTCTAAAAACCAGAGCGTCTCTTCTCCTCCAGAGGATTGCAGCTCCCCGCCAGCAACTGAACAAAGCTGGTTGGAGAATGACTTTGACGAGTTGACAGAAGTAGGCTTCAGAAGGTTGGTAATAACAAACTTCTCCTAGCTAAAGGAGATGTTTGAACCCATCCAAAGGAAGCTAAAAACCTTGAAAAACAGTTAGACAAATGGCTAACTAGAATAAACAGTGTGAAGAAGACCTTATATGATCTGATGGAGCTGAAAACCATGGCACGAGAACATGGTGACGCATGCACAAGCTTCAATAGCTGATGTGATTGAGTGCAAGAAAGGGTATCAGTGACTGAAGATCAAATTAATAAAATAAAGCGAGAAGAGAAGTTTAGAGAAAAAAAGAGTAAAAAGAAATGAACAAAGCCTTCAAGAAATATGGGACTATGTGAAAAGACCAAATCTACGTTTGATTGTTGTACCTGAAAGGAAAGTGACAGGGAGAATGAAACCAAGTTGGAAAACACTCTTCAGGATATTATCCAGGAGAACTTCCCCAACCTAGCAAGACAGGCCAACATTCAAATTCAGGAAATAAAGAGAACACCACAAAGATACTCCTCAAGAAGAACAACTCCAAGACGCCTAATTGTCAGATTTACCAAGGTTGAAATGAAGGAAAAAATGTTAAGGGCAGCCAGAGAGAAAGGTCAGGTTACCCACAAAGGGAAGCCCATCAGACTAACAGCGGATCTCTTGACAGAAACACTACAAACCAGAAGAGAGTGGGGACCAGTATTCAACAATCTTAAAGAAAAGAATTTTCAACCCAGAATTTCATATCCAGCCAAACTAAGCTTCATCAGTGAAGGAGAAATAAAATCCTTTACAGACAAGCAAATGCTAAGAGATTTTGTCACCATCAGGCCTGCTATACAAGAGCTCCTGAAGGAAACACTAAACATGGAAAGGAACAACTGGTACCAGCCACTGCAAAAACATGCCAAATTGTAAAGACCATCCATGCTATGAAGAAACTGCATCAATTAATGGGCAAAATAACCAGCTAACATCATAATGACAACATCGAATTCACAAATAACAATATTAACTATAAATGTAAATGGGCTAAATGCCCCAATTAAAAGATACAGACTGGCAAATTGGATACAGTCAAGACCGGGTGTGATTCCATCCTGCACGGCTGTTCTCTGTAGCAGTGTTCGTTTATCTCCGTCCGCCTTCTCTCCCACCTAAGTGCCTGCCGCCACCTGATGGAAGATTCGATGGATATGGACATAAGCCCCATGAGGCCCCAGAACTATCTTTTCAGTTGTGAACTAAAGGCTGACAAAGACGATCACTTTAAGGTGGATAATGATGAAAATGAGCACCAGTTATCTTTAAGAATGGTCAGTTTAGGGGCTGCTGCAAAGGATGAATTGCTCATTGTTGAAGCAGAGGCAATGAATTACGAAGGCAGTCCAATTAAAGTAACACTGGCAACTTTGAAAATGTCTGTACAGCCAATGGTTTCCCTTGGGGGCTTTGAAATAACACCACCAGTGGTCTTAAGGTTGAAGTGTGGTTCGGGGCCAGTGCATATTAGTGGACAGCACTTAGTAGCTGTGGAGGAAGATTCAGAGTCAGAAGATAAAGAGGAGGAGAACGTGAAACTCTTAAGTATATCTGGAAAGCAGTCTGCCCCTGGAGGTGGTAGCAAGATTCCACAGAAAAGAGTAAAACTTGCTGCTGATGAAGATGATGATGATGATGAAGACGACGATGATGATGATTTTGATGATGAGGAAGCTGAAGAAAAAGCCCCAGTGAAGAAATCTATACAAGATACTCCAGCCAAAAATCCACAAAAGTCAAATCAGAATGGAAAAGACTCAAAACCATCATCAACACCAAGATCAAAAGGACAAGAATCCTTCAAAAAACAGGAAAAAACTCCTAAAACACCAAAGGAACCAGTTCCGTAGAAGACATTAAAGCAAAAATGCAAGCAAGTATAGAAAAAGTGCATTGAACAGCTCTGGGCACTACATGTAAATTAAGCCCAAAGATGAGGAGAAAGGAAAAGGAGAGACAAATATAGTCCATACTGAGTGTCATCAACAATCCAGACTGAAGTCTTCTATTTAAATCTCAATCCCCTTTTCGATTTGCCACCCATGCCTCTTCAGGCTGGAAACAATCTCACTCTTGGTTCCCTAAAGCACTTTCTTCTGACTGCTGTGATACAGTGAAGCTTGCCCTTTGCTTTCTATTACTTGTGCATTTGCCTCACCTCTGACAATGTTTTAAATCGCCTTTGTATCTCCTCAGCTGCTCAGTAAATATTTGAATGAATCAAAAAAAAAAAAAAAAAAAAAGGTCCACGACCCATCAGTGTGCTGTATTCAGCGAGCACGCATATCACATGCAAGAGACACCACATTGGGCTCAAAATAAAAAGGATGGAAGGAAATCCCCTACAAGCCAAACTGGACAACAAACAAAAAAAAAGCAGGAGTTGGCAATTCTACGTCTCTCAAGATAAAACACAGACTTTAAAACCCAACAAAGATCCAAAAGAGAACACCAGAGGCCATTACATAAATGGAAAGGGATTACCTACATTTATTGACGAGTTTTTAAGCGAAGCTGTGAAATTTGTCGAAAAGAGGCCTTTTGCTGCATCTGTTGAGATAGTCATGTGGTTTTTGTCTTTGGTTGCTGTTTACCTGAGTGATGGATTACATTTCATTGACCTTTGGCATATATTGAACCAGACCTTGGGCATCCCAGGATCGAACGGCCACTGATCCATCCTTAACTTTTTGGTTTTGCGCTGATATCAGTATTACAACAATATACTACAAGGATAAGAACTCAGTCAAAAGCACAACAACTAGCACGGAAACAGAAACACAACCTGATCCTGAATGACTAACATCGGGTACATAAACAAAATGAGCAAGGCAGCAAATAAAGATGTTCTTTGAAACCCATGAGCAAACAAGGATACGCAACACCCCCAAGAATCTCTGGGACACATTTAAAGGCCAGTGTGTAGTAGGGAAATTTATAGCACTAAAAGCCCACAAGAGAAAGGCAGGAAAGATCTTAACAAGCTGACCAACCCTAACATCACAAAATTTAAAAGAACTAGGAAGCAAGGAGAGCAACACATTCAAAAGGCCTAAGCCAGAAGCCAAGAATAACTAAGATAGAGGCAAAACTGAACAGAAGATAGAGACACAAAAAACTCTTCAAAGAAATCAAACTGAATCCAGGAGGCTAGTTTTTGAAAAGATCCAAACAAAAATTTGACCGACCAACCCTGGTAACGACTTAAATAAAGAGAAAAAGAGAGAGGAAATAATAGATGCAAATAACAAAATGATACAAAGGGGATTCCACCACCAACGGATCATCACCATAATAACGCAACTACATAGCCAAGGAATACTGCAAACACGCTTACACAAAAAACTAGAAAATGCTAGAAGAATGGACAAATTCCTGGACACATACACCCTCCCAAGGACAAACCCACCTCTCTGAATTAGAATCAATATCAGGCACCTCCTGAAATTGAGCTCAATAATTAAATAGCTACCCAACCAAAAAAGTCCAGGACGCAAGATGGAATTCACGAGCCGCATTCTAACCAGAGGTACAAGGAGGGCTGTTACATTCTTTCTGAAACAATTGCCAATCCCAATAGAAAAAGAGGGTAAATCTTCGCAACTGATTTAGAGGCCAGCATCCATCCCCTGATTCCAAAGCCTGGGAACGACACACAAAAAAAGAAATTTTTAGACCCCCCAATCATCGGGCCTGATGGAAACAACAGTGCAAGAAATCCTCCAATAAAATAAAGAGGCATTCCTTCGCACTTAGCCCTGCCCTCTTGAGGGGCAAAAAGATTAGTCATGGACCACGCTGAAGGGAAATGCCCCTGAGCTAGCATTCGGCTGATGATCCCTGTCCTTGTATCTTTTTAAGTGATTTTCAACGCCTAAGTGTGGTCTTTTTGTGGTTACTCAGCCTATTTGTCCAGTTGAACGACTGAGAAGCAAGCCCTGAATAGAAAGCTGACAGCAGAAAACAAGAACATGGTAAAGGGACCAAGCGGTATGCAAACCGCAAGCCAAAAAAAAAAAAAAATCAACACTATGAACCTTCACATGACAAAGACGCCAGGTTTCCTCCAAACAGATCAAACTGCAGAGAAAAGAAGAGCTAGAGAAATGACCATATGATTAAAAGAATTTAAAAAATAAATATCAAACATTGGCAATGTAGAGCCTTCTATTTGGATCTTTAAAAGTCCCACACCATACTAGATAAAAATAATACGAGACAATGAACGAAATTTGGCCCCACTGATTGGATATTTCACGGTATTGACTGCAAAATATTACTCCCTGAGTTGTTATAATTTTATTGTGGGTTTTTCTTAAAAATAGTTTTTTCCCAGGAAAAAAAATGTACAAAATATTTATGGACTGAAAATGATGAATGATGTCTGAGGTTCGCGCATCTAAATAAGACTGAGCAGGGGTTAGGCGCGGAATGTAATAATCACCCAGCTTCAACAATTATCAACCCATGTGATGGTACACCAGTAGCTCCATCAAACCTCTTCCCTCTTCTTTCACATTAAAACTGTGAGATTTCCCCTAAATGAAAAGCGTAAAAATACCCGTATGGATATTACTAAACAATGAAAACAACATATTCAAAACCAAATTATTCCAACAATGTCGAGAAACCTTCAATTAAAAAAATAAATTAATACAATTCACCAACATTGATTCCGATACTCTAAGATGAAAAACCATAGAATCA